CCATGACTGGGACCGTAAACAGGTATGATGGAGAGCTGGTTGATGTGCATAGTGTGAGGGAGATTGACAGGTGTTGCGTAGAGCTAGAGTGACGTGCGTAGCGTGAGGTAAATTCAGAAAACATGAACTAAGCTGATTTGATATACATTTATTTATAAATTTCCCACGGTGCGTTTAGCATGAAACGTGATAGGTGAAATGGCGACTGTGGGGGAAGGGGGTGTGGCCTCGCTCCTCTGATTTATGATCCCAAAGAGGATTAATGAATTTTGGTCCCAAAGTGTGGACCCGCTGCCGAGTCCCGTAATTTGTCAGTGAAACATGGCGCCAGAGACCGATACGCTCAGAAGGGCGGAGATTGATGGGGCGAGGAACGTTATGTAAACATGAGACCGAAACTGGAAATGTTTATAGGGTAAAAAAAGATCTGCGTAGGGCATTGGTTTGGTAATTAAATAATGTGTTAAGTATATTGTAAAGGGGGAAGAAGAAGAAGGGGGAGAGAGAGGGGGTGGAGAAGGGAAAAAGGGGGAAGAGTACAGAAGGGGGGTACTCCGATCTAGTGAATTATAATTGAACAGTACCATTCCCCCTCTTGATTGACACAGATGATTGATAGTCGGTATTGACAGTGTATTCTGACACATCAGTAATGTCTCATCTGTGATGGCACACCTCTGTTGACAAATGTGTATTGACTCGTATACCACATATTACTCACATATTACTTTAACAAATGCGACTTATTCAATGTAAATGATACACATGTGACTGCCTTGCATAAGATACTTCACCTATCTCATTCGTTAAGAAATGATAAACATGTGACTGGGTCAAAAACTGATACAACTGGCTGGTTCAGATAGTACTAATATGCATGTAGATTACTCACTAAGGACTGACACATATGGCATATTAATAATTTAGAACTCTTACATGTGACTGACTCATTTTAGATGACGCACATACGTACGATGCTTTGATGATGATGATGACTCTAGACAGATTTTAAATTGATGATTGATGGTCATTACGTAGTGAGTTACGTTAGATCACTAACGTAACTCGAGAGCGAGTTACGTTAGTGATCTTTCTATACTACTACTACTACTTATAATAATAATAATAATAATGTTTATTTAGGGAAAAGTTAATGCGTACAAAATGAATAAAAATACAAAAATGATTTACAAAAATAATTTTGGATTTCTAGATAGAACTAGTATAAATTTTGGGCGCCTGACAGCTGGGTGGACAGCGCTTTAGATTCGTAGTCCTGAGGTTCCGGGTTCGATCCCCGGTGGAGGCGGAGACAAATGGGCAAAATGTTTCTTTCTCCCCGATGCCCCTGTTACCTAGCAGTAAATAGATACCTAGGAGTTAGACAGCTGCTACGGGCTGCTTCCTGGGGATAAGTAACAAAAAGGAGGCCAAGTCGAGGACCGGGCCGCAGGGACGCTAAGCCCCGAAATCATCTCAAGATATCCTCATGATAGATAACCTGTGCCTAAAGCCGCTAATATACACAACGTTTCGGGCATCTAGGATTCGGGCTTCTCTTTCCTGCAGGGTTTTCTATCTTTCTCTCAGATATTCTTATTTGAGTCTTCAGAATAATTATTCTTTTGTCTCGTCTCCCCTCTCTCTGGCGGAAAAAAAGATCACTGTCCCCTCTTGCGAGGTCCCTCACCCTACTTCGTTCTCAGAAGAGGTCCGCCCTGTCTCATTCTTATGTCATTACTTATCACTGCTATCGCTAATCCCTAAGTTTTGGTCCTTTAATGCAGTTTACTCTCGTTACAGGTCCACCTTTTCCCTCGGGTAGATGTACCCTTTCCCCCTCAATAGAGGTCTCCTTTCACATTTTTTCCTAGTTAGAAGACATCTTTCCCATTCGGTCCTCGACAGAAGATACCTTTCCAAAATTCCCCTTAGACAGAAGTTCCCTTCCCGCGTTCCCCTGTTTAGATGCATGATCCCTCACTCGCCTGCCATTGAGGGATGCCTCGCCTGTTTTATCCTTGCTACATGTCATATATCTTACCTTCCCCCTCACTGGATGCTGGCTGCCTCACTCCCCTCACTGGACGCTAGCTGCCTCACTCCCCTCACTGGATGCTGGCTGCCTCACTCCCCTCACTGGACGCTAGCTGCCTCACTCCCCTCACTGGATGCTGGCTGCCTCACTCCCCTCACTGGATGCTGGCTGCCTCACTCCCCTCACTGGATGCTGGCTGCCTCACTCCCCTCATTGAAATGAGGGCTGCCTCACTCCCCTCATTGGATGCTGGCTGCCTCACTCCCCTCACTGGACGCTAGCTGCCTCACTCCCCTCACTGGACGCTAGCTGCCTCACTCCCCTCACTGGACGCTAGCTGCCTCACTCCCCTCACTGGACGCTAGCTGCCTCACTCCCCTCACTGGATGCTGGCTGCCTCACTCCCCTCACTGGATGCTGGCTGCCTCACTCCCCTCATTGAAATGAGGGCTGCCTCACTCCCCTCATTGGATGCTGGCTGCCTCACTCCCCTCATTGAAATGTGGGCTGCCTCACTCCCCTCACTGGATGCTGGCTGCCTCACTCCCCTCACTGGACGCTAGCTGCCTCACTCCCCTCACTGGATGCTGGCTGCCTCACTCCCCTCACTGGACGCTAGCTGCCTCACTCCCCTCACTGGATGCTGGCTGCCTCACTCCCCTCACTGGATGCTGGCTGCCTCCCTCCTCTCATTGGATGCTGGCTGCCTCACTCCCCTCATTGAAGTGAGGGCTGCTTCACTCCCCGTCGTTTTTCCCCACGTTTCTCTTCCCTTGCTAAATGTTCTCCTATTCACTCTTCTTCCAACAGATGTCTGTTGCATTTGTAATTGGTGTGTTCACAAGCATATAATGTTTTACGTTATGTTCTATTATTTTTTCTGAGACTAAAATTATGTTACCTGATAGTTTGTTTCATATCAGGGTTTACCCCGGCCTTTTTCTGTTAATCTAGGCTTATTCTGTTGTATTTCAGTGTTTCGTGTTCTCTTTTGTATTTATATATTTAACACCTAAATAATATTCCTTTTGTTTTAGCCTTCCGTCCAGCTGTATACTTTAAACATATGACCTCTTTCTCTTAACTTATTGGAACAAGTAAATTTATCTTCCTTCATTACTATTCGTTAAGGGTTTTTTAATTCTGTTACTAAAACGGAACTGAATAACCGAAATGGGGCCCAATAAGGACAAGATCAAACTGCACAAAAGTAGGCCGTGGCTATCCATAAAAGTCCATTTTTTGTGCTTTTGTTATTAAATAGAGTTGGAGGAGAAGAAGCAATAAACACCTCCCCCACTGTCTCCCACCATCCAATTCCGCTGACTGGCCTAAGGACGTTCAGAGATCATTCTTGATATTTATGTGGCTTAATTATACAGCAAGAATATGTTGACCAACCACACACTAGAACGTGAAGGGACAACGACGTTTCGGTCCGTCCTGGACCATTCTCAAGTCGATTACGATCGATTTCAGAATGGTCCAGGACGGACCGAAACATCGTCGTCCCTTCACTTTCTAGTGTGTGGTTGGTCTACATATTTCAGCCACGTTATTGTGACTCCTCGTCTGTATACAGCAAGAGCCTACACCCGGCCTCCTTCTCTCCCAGGCCTCTGTCTCAGCACTTGTACATCTCTAGCCCTCTCTCTCTCTTTCCCTTATAATAAATTATTCTAAATATACAGCCATTAACGTTGAGCAGGAGAGAGCCGTCTAGGCCCCGTAACGGGAACTAGGATAAACATTTTTCATCCTATTTCCTATTTAGTGTTCAGTTTTTGTGTTTTCTATATATGAACTGTTCCTATTATGGTATCCATGGTTTCGAGTTTTATTTTAAGCTGATATATTAAGAATTCTATTTGCATTCTCCTTTTTAAACTCTATCCATTTATTGTCTCCAATTATGCTGCCTTCGACTCTACACCCCTTCAAAATTTCAGACATGAACGACTGTAAATTTTTTAAACATAATTTTACTTTGAAAAACCATTCTACAAATATTTTATGAACTAGTGTAGTTTTCCACAAATAATTTTAAACAAATTGTACGGTAGTTTTACCTCATCGTTAGTTCTCTATTTATACAAAAAATTGCATTATATTTGTATAGCGCCATTATTCGACATAATTATTTAACAGGTTTACCAAGGGTACACTTAACTCCTTCTTACACTTTCAGGTCCCTGGCAAATATTTCATTTGGGCCTGGGGACTTATTTGCTTGTAATTTTTTGTTCTGACTTTCATTTCTACTGATTTCCCTTTACTTGTCTTCTCTACTTCGTGTACCTCGTCTTGTTCTACTCTTAAAAAGAAATGTAATTCTTTAGAAAACAAATCAAATATTTGTCTGTGTGACTATTAAAACATTATTTACTCTGCGAAGCAGGAGAGGGTTCACTGCCAAGGAGGGTCTTTGATATTTATTAATTCATTGAGCGATCAGGTCGACGAAATTGCACGTTGCAGGAGAGAGGAAGGTTAATATTAGAAGGTATTTTTCCATCATTAATCTCAAAGTTGTATCAGGTGACACCTTATTGAAGTGTCATGTGATATTCAGACTACCTGGCTTCTTATTCTTTATTGGATGTCTCTGATTCTGTGAAATATATCTCCAGAGTTCTTAAGATGTTTCATTCTGTAGGTCAGCTAACTCATAATATTTATCTATGTCTCTACACAGAACCGTAATTGGAACCGCTTAGAGAATTGACACACTTTGCACGAGTTGCTGCTTGTGACACTGTAAAGGAGGAACATAAACCGATGGTTAAAATATATTTTCTTTTGTTTTGCATTTTCGAAGCATCAAGCATTTGATGCCAAATTTGAGCATCAAATTTATAATGTTCTAAGTTTAATCATGCAACTTATGGCTCTTAATAAAACACCTTTTCCTTCCACTGTTCATAAAACGTTCAGTAGTGTAAAAGAGGAATCTTTGTTACAGAGCGATGGCGTGGCAGAGCGTGTTGGTGGTGGCGTGGATGTCGGCGTCAGTGGTGTTGGGAGCGGAGCCGCGCGATCCCTTAGTGGTACAGACGCTGAAGGGATCCGTGCGAGGCACAACACTTACCACAGCCAAGGGCCGCCAGGTCGACGCCTGGTATAACATTCCCTTTGCCCAGCCTCCAATTGGGGATCTCCGGTTCCGTCACCCGCGACCCATCGACCGCTGGCATGGAGTAAAGGACACAACCATGCTGCCAAAATCCTGCGTACAGCTTCCAGACACCTTCTTCGGGGAGTTCAACGGCTCAACTATGTGGAATCCCAACACGGAGATGAGTGAGGATTGTCTTTACATCAACTTGGTGGTTCCGAAACCTCGTCCGCGGAACGCAGCAGTTATGGTGTGGATATATGGCGGCGGCTTCTACTCGGGAACTTCCACGTTGGATGTTTACGATTACAAAATGCTGGCGGCAGAACAGAATGTGATCGTGGTGGCACCGCAATACCGTGTCGCATCCCTTGGTTTTCTGTACATGATGAATTCCGACGTGCCTGGGAATGCCGGCCTCTTCGATCAACTCATGTCGCTGCAGTGGATCCATGACAACATTAAGTTCTTCGGTGGTAATCCTGATAACATAACACTTTTTGGCGAGTCTGCCGGCGCCGTCAGCGTGAGCATGCACCTGCTATCTCCCCTCTCCCGCCACCTCTACAGTCAGGCTATCATGCAGTCGGGCACAGCCACCGCGCCTTGGGCCATTATTACCAAGGAAGAAAGTATTCTGCGAGGTCTTCGTCTTGCCGAAGCTGTTGGTTGCCCCCACGACCCCAATAACATGACTGCTGTCGTTCACTGTCTCCGCGAGACGGACGCCAAGACCTTGGTACAGAATGAACCATCCTCTGGAATCTGTGACTTCCCCTTCGTGCCCATTATTGACGGCGCTTTTCTCGACGAACGTCCTAGCAAATCCCTTAAAAACAAAAACTTCAAGAAGACCAACATCTTAATGGGCAGCAATACAGAGGAGGGCTATTGGTTTATTATATACTTCCTCTCTAGTATCTTTCGCCTGGAGGACGAAATCATGGTGTCACGGCCCGAATTCGAAACTGCAGTGCGTGAACTCCATCCATACTTCAACGAAGTGGTTCGCCAAGCCATCATGTTTGAGTACACAGACTGGCTTTCTCCCGAAGACGGGGCCATGTATCGCAACGCTATTGACAAGATGGTGGGCGACTATCACTTCACCTGCAACGTCAACGAATTCGCCTACCACTACGCCCTGGCCGGAAACAACGTCTACATGTATTACTATAAGCATCGCTCCTCACAGCATCTTTGGCCTAAGTGGATGGGGGTTCTTCACGGAGATGAGATCAGCTTTCTCTTCGGCCAGCCTTTAAACCCTGAAAAATCCTACACTGTAGAGGAACAAGAACTCTCAAGACGAATGATGACTTACTGGGCCAACTTCGCTAAGACTGGGTGGGTGAGAATGTATATATATATATATATATATATATATATATATATATATATATATATATATATATATATATATATATATATATATATATAATGTAACCGTGAGTGTTTGTTATGGTGGCTCGTTGTGTATGCATATTTATATTTTCTGTAAGCATGTGTACGCGTGTGTAGGCTTGTGCATGTTTGTAATACAGCTGGTAAATAATTAGAGCTGAATGCCCAGATGGCGGAGCTTCGTGTGTAGGTGTGTCCATTGGGAGACGACAAATATCAGGTCTTGGATCCGTAATACACTTATCCAACACGGATAACATACATGTAGATATTACTATTTGGCCACTTGGATTGTAGGGTATAAATATTTATAAAACAATTACATTGCGGTAACTGGGTTCGGTTGTCTCCTGGTTGTGTCATGATGTGTGTGTGTGTGTGTGTGTGTGTGTGTGTGTGTGTGTGTGTGTGTGTGTGTGTGTGTGTGTGTGTGTGTGTGTGTGTGTGTGTGTGTGTCCTGCAAAATATATCGATAACGGATAGACAGATATGGTAGGTTTTAGGGGGTTAATTCTGGGGTTAAATGTTGTTGTTTTAAATTCAGTTACATGGAACAAAAAGTTCCCAGCAGCACGGGCTATGGTGAGCCCGTGGTGGACTTGGGGGGGGGAATGATAACGAGGTGTGTGTTAGAGTATTAAATAGGATATGAATAGAGAGACGGAAAGCAAAATCAAATGAAAATCTCATTAACCAAATCTAATCAGTATACTTGATTACTATTCATCTGTTGTGGTCACGATAATTACCGTATTTGCATATGGATTGAAAGCTGTATCGGTGCGTTGGATACGTTTGTGTGTGTGTGACGTGCATGAGGCTTTGTTTCTTTTTTTCCTGTATAATTACTTGAGAATGTTAAGTAGTGATACAAAGATTCCTTAATGGTGTAGGGTTAACTCGCGTCTAAGTCCGTTAGACACTAATTCCTAACACCAAATGGTCCTAAGTTTAACTTGTCTAGAATCGTTAAGATAAGTAGCAGGTTCCTTACGTTGGGTTAATTAATGGGTTCTGTATGTTAGGAAATGTTAGATCAAAATTTGCCTAGGTTAAATTTAGTAAGATGAAGGGTTCGCTAGCTTAGGCCAGCATAGGAAAGGATTTCCTATAAGGGAAAATTATTCTCTGAGTTAGGCTTGTTTAGGGAAAGGAATTCATAAGTTACATTACGAATAATGTTGACCAAACCACACACTAGAAAGTGAAGAGACCACGAAGTTTCGACTTGAGAATTGACTTGAGAAAGGTCTTGAGAATGGTCCAGGACGGACCGAAACGTCGCCGTCTCTTCACTTTCTAGTGTGTGGTTTTCTCAACATATTTCAGCCACGTTATTGTGACTCCTCGTCTGCTTAAGAATAATGGTTTCCTTTTAAGTTTGGCTATGCTTATACTATACTCTACCCGGTCTGGTGCCTTCAACTTCAATTATCTTTAGATAATGAGTTACTTAAATTTAGTTAGATTACTCCTTGGTTCACTCGGGTCGGATATATAACGGAACATGCGTGCGGTTATGCGAAAAAAAGACCACATAACTTTTGTGTATAACGTGCGGTAATTTGGAAGGTCGACGAGTCATCCGTAAACCACATCAACACCCACATAACCTGTGTTTGTCCCCCCATAACCTGTGTTAATTGTGTCCCCCATAACCTGTGTTTGTGTCCCCACATAACCTGTGTTTGTGTCCCCACATAACCTCTGTTTGTATCCCCACATAACCTGTGTTTGTGTCCTCACATAACCTCTGTTTGTGTCCCCACATAACCTGTGTTCGTGTCCCCACATAACCTGTGTTTGTGTCCCCACATAACCTGTGTTTGTGTCCCCACATAACCTCTGTATAGGTCCCCACATAACCTGTGTTTGTGTCCCCACATAACCTGTGTTTGTGTCCCCACATAACCTGTGTTTAGGTCCCCACATAACCTGTGTTTGTGTCTGCAGAAACCCGAGCGAAGGCATCGAGAGCGTGTGGACGCAGACCTACTGGCCAGTCCACACCACATCAGGGAGAGAGTACCTCACCCTGGCCACCAACACCACCTCCACAGGCAGGGGGCCCAGACTCAAAAAATGTGCCTTCTGGAAAAAATTCGCTCCTAAGCTGCTCAAGCTTACAGGTGAGGTAGCAGGTGAGGTAAGCATCGGTGATGGCCCACATCTGAAGGGTCATGATCAGGTGAGAGCAGCGGCTGATCTGAGATGCTGTTTATGAGTGAATAGTGAGAGTCATTCAGCATCTTGGAGAGAAAGAAGAGAGAGTGAGAGAGAGAGAGAGAGAGAGAGAGAGAGAGAGAGAGAGAGAGAGAGAGAGAGAGAGAGAGAGAGAGAGAGAGAGAGAGAGAGAGAGAACCAGATGAATGAGTGGAGTAGGTAGGCAGATGAAGGGTAGTGAATGAGGATTAATCACTGTCGAGTCCAGTTGTGCAGATACTTAAGTACTATAAATTCTAAAAAGTGAAGTTTAAGTTAAACGTAACATTTATTGGCTAATTTTACAAGTTACGAAGAAAGTTCCGAAAGCGTATAAATAGAAAAACCAGCAATGATGTAAAACTAACTTACCTCTAACATCACCAATACTCGTCTCCCCCCCCTCTCTCTCTCTCTCTCTCTCTCTCTCTCTCTCTCTCTCTCTCTCTCTCTCTCTCTCTCTCTCTCTCTCCTTCCTCTACGTAAGTCTATCACCCCACAATCGGTTTCCCCCGTCCACTCTTTATATCCGGCTCCACAGGGAACCAGCCAGTGCCCTTGTCACCGGTGTTGGGGGGGTGGAGGGAGTCTGACCGGGCCAAATATAGCCGAGGCAGGCCTGTTGGAGTGGGTGTCGTTTTGCAATGTTGAAATTCTTGTCTCCTCTCGCGTCACTAATAACTGCCGCTGCCTCTCCAGGGAGGAGCAATCGATCGCTCCATCTGGAAGGTCGGGGGGTGGCGTGCGTGTGTGTGTAGGGTTTAAGTGGTGTAGGGTTTAAATGGTGTAAGGTTTAAGTGGTGTAGGGTTTCAGTGGTGTGGGCAAATTGTATAGCTCTGATCAGGACGTTACCTATGATTCGTTGTGGTCTAGTGCCGTTGGAATCAAGTGATGTATTACCGTTGATTTGCCGTTGTCTGATGACATTTGGATCCAATGATCTGTAAACGTTGGCAATGTCTGGTAAAATTGGCCTATTACGGTAATAATCTATTACCGTTGGGTTTCAATGGTCTATTGCCGTTGGGCTTGTTTAAGTTGTTGCTGAGTGAATATTTTTTTGCCAATGGGTGCTATTAGTCTGCTGCCGTTGGATCCCCATTAGTCTCTTTCTGTTTATCCCTTGGCATGCTGCCGTTGAGGCTCAGTGATCTGTTGTCTTTAGTGAGCAAATGTTTGTTGCTGTGGGACCTATAGTGATTTGTTTGTATGGGGGAGCTCGGGAGGCTGTTGTGGTCGTGGTCAAGTGGTGTAATGAGTTTGAGTTAACTTTGAACTTCCTATCTTTCTTGCCCCTGTGTCTTTCTTGCCCTGTGTCTTTCTTGCGTCTGTGTCTTTCTTGCCCTGTGTCTTTCTTGCCCCTGTGTCTTTCTTGCGTCTGTGTCTTTCTTGCTCCTGTGTCTTTCTTGCGTCTGTGACTTTCTTGCCCCTGTGTCTTTCTTGCCCCTGTGTCTTTCTTGCGTCTGTGACTTTCTTGCCCCTGTGTCTTTCTTGCTCCTGCGTCTTTCTTGCCCCTGTGTCTTTCTTGCTCCTGCGTCTTTCTTGCCCCTGTGTCTTTCTTGCGTCTGTGACTTTCTTGCTCCTGTGTCTTTCTTGCGTCTGTGTCTTTCTTGCGTCTGTGACTTTCTTGCGTCTGTGACTTTCTTGCCCCTGTGTCTTTCTTGCCCCTGTGTCTTTCTTGCCCCTGTGTCTTTCTTGCCCCTGTGTCTTTCTTGCCCCTGTGTCTTTCTTGCGTCTGTGACTTTCTTGCCCCTGTGACTTTCTTGCTCCTGTGTCTTTCTTGCCCCTGTGTCTTTCTTGCCCCTGTGTCTTTCTTGCCCCTGTGTCTTTCTTGCGTCTGTGACTTTCTTGCCCCTGTGTCTTTCTTGCGTCTGTGTCTTTCTTGCCCCTGTGTCTTTCTTGCCTTGTGTCTTTCTTGCCCCTGTGTCTTTCTTGCCTTGTGTCTTTCTTGCCCCTGTGTACTTCTTGCCCCTGTGTCTTTCTTGCCCCTGTGTCTTTCTTGCCCCTGTGTCTTTCTTGCCCCTGTGTCTTTCTTGCCCCTGTGTCTTTCTTGCCCCTGTGTCTTTCTTGCCCCTGTGTCTTTCTTGCCTTGTGTCTTTCTTGCCCCTGTGTCTTTCTTGCCCCTGTGTCTTTCTTGCCTTGTGTCTTTCTTGCCCCTTTGTCTTTCTTGCCCCTGTGTCTTTCTTGCCCCTGTGTCTTTCTTGCCTTGTGTCTTTCTTGCCCCCTGTGTCTTTCTTGCCCCTGTGTCTTTCTTGCCTTGTGTCTTTCTTGCCCCCTGTGTCTTTCTTGCCCCTGTGTCTTTCTTGCCTTGTGTCTTTCTTGCCCCTTTGTCTTTCTTGCCCCTGTGTCTTTCTTGCCCCTGTGTCTTTCTTGCCTTGTGTCTTTCTTGCCCCTGTGTCTTTCTTGCCTTGTGTCTTTCTTGCCCCTGTGTACTTCTTGCTCCTGTGTCTTTCTTGCCCCTGTGTCTTTCTTGCCCCTGTGTCTTTCTTTCCCCTGTGTCTTTCTTGCCCCTGTGTCTTTCTTGCCTTGTGTCTTTCTTGCCCCTGTGTCTTTCTTGCCCCTGTGTCTTTCTTGCCTTGTGTCTTTCTTGCCCCTTTGTCTTTCTTGCCCCTGTGTCTTTCTTGCCCCTGTGTCTTTCTTGCCTTGTGTCTTTCTTGCCCCCTGTCTCTTTCTTGCCCCTGTGTCTTTCTTGCCTTGTGTCTTTCTTGCCCCCTGTGTCTTTCTTGCCCCTGTGTCTTTCTTGCCTTGTGTCTTTCTTGCCCCTTTGTCTTTCTTGCCCCTGTGTCTTTCTTGCCCCTGTGTCTTTCTTGCCCTGTGTCTTTCTTGTCCCCTGTGTCTTTCTTGCCCTAAGACTTGCTTGCCCCTGTGTCTTTCTTGCCCTAAGACTTGCTTGCCCCTGTGTCTTTCTTGCCCTAAGACTTTCTTGCCCCTGTATCAGCATTCGCAACATCACTTAAGTTATTCATTGCACTATTGCATTATTAACATTTGAATATCTGAGTTCTGTTGTTACCGAGCTAATTTTGCTTAATTCTTATCCCTTTTTTGAAGATAAGTTTCCGGTGTTACTACTTTTCTCAATTCTCTCCCTTCCTCATTACCCAGATGTATCACCTCTCTCCACTGACAGTTTACTATCCGACTTCCATTTCACTTTCTTTCACCTGTTTTCGATTTACGTTCCCTTGCCTCCCTCTATTTTTCGCTCTCTCTCTCTCTCTCTCTCTCTCTCTCTCTCTCTCTCTCTCTCTCTCTCTCTCTCTCTCTCTCTCTCTCTCTCTCTCTCTCTTTTCTTCATTTCCAATTAACTTACCTCTTTTAATGTCCATTATTCTTCTTTTTAATATTTCAGTTATATTTCTTAAATAAAAAATACTATTGTTCACTGCATAAATCCCCAGCATACTCTACAGAAAATATAATCAGTGGTGTCCACAGCATATAGTATTACTGGCCTCCACTGCATATATCATTTGTGGGCTGCACAGCATATATGACCACTGGCCTACATACATCACCAGTGCACAGCATAAATCGGATATTATATATATATATATATATATATATATATATATATATATATATATATATATATATATATATATATATATATATTATACACTACATTTTATTAACTAAAATACATCTTCATTTATGCAACTACCCTTGAGTATGTGAATAGTTACATAGATGTGGCAAGAGGTGGCTATGTGATACTAAAGATGATGTCTGCACTGGCAGACTCCGGATGCATTTTGAGGATATCAACGTGATAAACATGGGTTACAAAGAATGTAAACAAATCTACGGGACTACGTTCCCACATTTCAGTTATATTTTCCCGAGTCATTTTGGAAGTTTTCGACTGATGCATTTCGTGTATAGACCTTCACCGATGTATCTGTACCGGACCGCTGGCGTCCAGCTAACTCTAATTTTGAAATATGAATTGTTTAAACCTACTGGGCATAGTTTAATATTTAATTTGTGCCTGCTCACTGTGTTTCTTTTAAAAAAGAGAGCCCTACTCGACCGTTATTATTGGCTTCGAACGAATACCATGTTTTTATGGAATTCAATAATATTGAGCAAAGCTTACTCGTTTTAGGATATCTATGGTGTGAGAGATATGTGGGCAGGGAGAGCACTCTCACTATGTTTGCAAATGTGCTATTATTGACATTAGTCAGTGGTGAAAAGGAAATATTTTCTATAAGAATTCATACTGGTAAGCAGTTTATAGATTTGTATTTGTATGGCATGTAAGTTGACATCTATTTGTTCGTACGTATGTGTGTGTGTGTGTGTGTGTGTGTGTGTGTGTGTGTGTACAAGCGTACATACGTGCGCGAGTAAGTTATTGTGCATGTGTTAACTTTGGAAGAAATAAAATTAAATAGGGCTGCTTTTGCTAGTTATTCTAGTTAATCAGCTTCAGGCATCATTTTTTATCCCGTTCTTTTATATGGAATACCAAGCAGATTTTTCTCTCTCTTGTGACTGTTTTTTTCCACCATTTTGTCCACCATGCTAAGTGGAGATCACCTCAGGAAACTCGCTTTCATCAGCCACAAATTATAGCATTGGCCAGTATATTTTGCTAGAAGAGCTTCATTTAAAATTTTCGTACATATGCCTCATCTCAATAGTGTAAAGCAAACCAAAACAAAACATTAATGAGAAAAAATAAATTTGTTTCTTAAAAAAATTATTTTATCATTTTATTTTTAGATCTTATGTGCATGCTTGCCCATTAACATGTAAACGGGAGTCTTCCTACCCTCATTCAGCTACAAGGATTATTCTGTATAACTAAACATAAATTACTTTAAATCTTGTAATCAAATAAGAAATGAGTTGTAACATACATATGTTAATTAAATAAAATGTTTTTGATTAATGTGAATATCTGATTGAATGTCAACA